ACAATCTTGGACAAAACTGTTGAGAAAATGTCACATTCTCAGACCATTTTTCCTAACATTCTCCCTATACCGCGTCCTCCCTTCCCCCCTCCCCTTGGAAGCAATGTTGTTGTGTGTTCTAAAGCAACCCTGATCCTTAAACATTTGTAAGAAACAACATTGACCTTGGGGAAGGGGAATTTGGTACCGCAAATCAGTTGTTTTTGAAATAGTGTTAATGCGTTACATAGTGTGCATGGAGGGGTAAAAATTCTCAAGTAGTTTTGTCCGGGATTGTATTTCACTGAAGTTGTGGATTTGAGGCATGTACCGTGGTTATATAAGCCTGTCCTTTATATATTAGGTACATTTTACAGTTAATGAGATAATTGATGAGAAATCAGTGACTTCACAGAAGTTAATCACTAAAAAAGTCTTTTGTACGTTGCATTCTATTCAAATCGTCAGTCGTCAACGTTCTTGAATTTGTTGGCTGACCATGGTTTTCACGGGCGCTTTAAGCGCCGAGGAACGGGCATACATTGCATATTTAGTACATGATAAGAATGTCTCCATTAAGGATATTAGCAGCAAAAAAGGAGTTTCAGCGGCTACCATCTATAGGTTGAAGGAAACAAAAATAGGAGGGCGGAAACATTGTACACGAACGCCTGTAAAACATCCAGGTGGGCGCCCGAAAAAACTGACTACGCGAGATGAAAGACATCTACTGCGGTGTATTCCTGTTTTAAGGGAAGATGAAGGCAATTTCTCCGCAAAAAGGTTAATGCAGAGAGCCGGGTTGAGTAAGAAGAAGGTAAGCGATCGAACTGTACGGCGATGTTTGAACGGAAACGGCTATTACTATCTACAAGCACGCAAAAAGGGCCTGATGACTAAAAACGATCAGAGGAAACGCAGGATATTCGCAAAACAAGTACAGGGCAACTATTCTGCGGATGTGTGGATTTCGAAAGTGGCCTTTTACCTCGATGGTGTAAGTCTGTTTTATAAACGCAATCCCGCAGATCAAGCGAGAGCACCTAAGGGGCGTATATGGCAAAAGAAGTGCGAAGGACTGAGCCTGGGTTGTACCGCGAAAGGTTCAAAAGAGGGGAGTGGGGGAAAGGTACTGAAGTTAATGGTTGCCATAAGCTATGGAAAGGGAGTGTTAATGTGTCATCCATACGTATACTTCGACGGGCCAACGTTTGCTGCATTTGTAAGGGAGAAGTTTCCTGAGATGTTTCATAAAGCGGGGAAAAAAGGTCGACGCATTTTTGTACAAGATAATGACCCCGTGCAAAATTCTGGGAGTGTACGCCGAGCTCTGAACGCCTTAAAAGCAAAGCAACTGAAGATTCCTCCCCGCAGTCCGGACGTCAATCCCATTGAAAATTTATTTCATTCCATGAGAGAGAAGCTGAGGCAGCAAGCACTGAAACAAAACATAACACATGAAACATTCCGTGAATTTTCAGACCGTGTGACAACAACTTTAAATAATTTTTCAATCGCAGAAATTGATAAGACAATCGAGTCTATGAATAACCGCTTACAATTGATAAAACAATCAAATGGACAGAGGATTAAATATTAACTAAACTCCAATGTTTACTTTACAAATTGAAATGTTTACTTTCTGTTAGACATTGTAGCGAGTGCAAAAACTATACTGTCATGCGCAACAACGTGACAACATGCACTATCGCGTGAGGTGTAACACTGCCAGTATTTTCCTGTGCTCCATATTTACATTAGAGCGAAAAAAATTACAACATAGATTCGTTATTTAGAAACAAACAGATAATAAATGTTGCGACAGTGGCCTCCTAACCTCTTTCTGTTCAGAAGATCTATGATTTGCAACGATTAACAGGACATTTGAAAGACCCTATGAAAATTGGCAACGATTAACAACGAATAACGTCTTCTATAAAGAATTAGAAGGTCATTCACTTATTTCAGTGAAATTGTGTTAACCGTTTCAATGTTCTGTTAATCGTGATATTATTCTATGTATGGTATCGTCCTAAAAAGTTAACCGATTTTTACGAACAAAGTTTGTCTAACCCTGAAAGTTTAACCTAGTATCAGATCGGAGAAACATGTCCCACAAGATGAGATCACGCGCTGCGATTCCCGAGGGATTACGTAACTCAACTCAAACAAGTTCCACCGTACTTTCATCATCTCAGTCTCTCGCTGATCTAGCACGCCATTTTTGAGAAAGAGAATTGGATACTTAGTAGTACAAAAAATCGGTGTATCGGACTTCACAGTAATGTCCTTAGAGAAATGGGTCTTCGGGGCGGGTAGATGTACAGTTTTACCCTCTAGTAGAAGCAAGAAATCATGCCATGGGATCAATTGAGGAGACCAGCGGAAGTCGTTGAGGAAAATGCATTCTGCTTTGTCAACCCCAACCCAAGCAAAGGTTCCTGTTGCAGGGTTACTGAATGTGTCGTAGATAGTTGTCAGTGGGTTCAATAAAAATGTTTTCCCGCAATTTGCTGGACCTGTTAACATAATATTTTTGTACTTTGCACGCCCGTTGACCAGTAAATCCTTCACAGCAGTGCGGAAAAATTCCAGAGAAATGCCATTGTTGTGTAAAATTTGTTGCGCACACGTTAACCACTCACCATTACAACCTGTTACACAGGAGCCAGTTTTAGCATCCTCTAGAAGGTTCATGCGACTTTTGCGCGACCGTGCCAACTTCTTGGGCGCATTCTCGATCTCCCAAGCAGTTTGTAATACATCGGCGACAACCTTTGGGTTGCGGTTAACTAAAAATTCCGCCAAATCCGTCTTCCCTTCTTTTTTTTGTTCAAATGCTAAGGCTTGAAGTTCTGTAAGAGTTGTGACATTTCTTTGAACAATTATTTCTCCCACCTCATACGCGGTAAGTCTCCTCCTTTTTTTCCTCCCCTTAGCGGTGGACTTCCCGTCGCTATCTTCCTCCTCGTCGTCGGCGCTTAATATTTCCGAGTTAGTAGTATTTCCACGACTTCTTTTCCGACGTTGACGTCTCGAACGGCTTGCAGAGCTTGTCTGTGGCTCCGTGTCATCTAGACGGGGATGTCCTTCACTCTCGATGTAGCATGCGTCGGACTTCGTAACA